CAGGAAGTGAAGACTTCTTACATGAAAGTCACTTGACTAGCTTGTAATATGTGATAGGAGACTGATTCCTGGATATATGATTGACATGATTGAGACTTATTTTTATAGGGGTGGCCTATAAGACTGAATATAGGAAAAACACCACAGGTAGCTAGGTGTCTTACCTTACATATATTGATTACATTGTTTGAATATGCAAATGATATGATATGACAAGACATGTATATAATACAAGTATTTATGATTTAGACATACATGTGATATAAATGATAAGACTAATACAAGAATATTGAATTCACATGAATCATATGATATATATGATACATATTTTATATTATATATTATACAAATCATTCATTATGAACTATATGACTTATCATAATGCATTGGTATAAGATACATATGAATTATATAATACATATGATATATTGTATTTGCACATGATACACTATATTTGATATAATTAGATATGAGACACATGCATAATATAGATATTGTAGGTATGCAGATTCTCTGAAATGATATATAGATATAAACTATTTTATAAGTGAAGGGCATAGAAATGTTAGAACCTATTGATCCTTTATATGGTTACTAATTATAGATTAATGCTCATAAGATATACAGCTTACTCTGATTGTTATTGGTCATATGATATGATTCTTTTTTTTTTTTTAACCTCACGAAAGAGGCCTACGAGTTAATATAAATCAAAATTACAAGATCTTAATGATTCCAGAGCTTGCTAAAATACAACATTTGAATCATGATCTAAGAGCCTCGGAATCAATCTAAAAACAATAACAAACCTAAAACAAATATAAAACCAGCCCAAAAAAAAAAACCCAATCAGCAAAATTCCAAATAAGCCACCATCTACCATGCAGTCTACCGTCTACACCCGAAGCCAGGTTTAGGCCATCAGGCTCAGTAATTGGCAGAGGCTACCAACCACCCAAAGTCATGCTCAGGCCATCTAGTATGGGGAGAACCACCAAAGGTTGCCACAAGACATGGCAACAGATGGTGAGCCCTAACCACATCATTGCCCATAGACAACCATTCGCAACCACAATTTTTAAACAAAACTCCAACAAAATTGCAACCACCAAGCAAAAGAAGAAGAAGAAGCCCATAGAGCTAATCAACCAAATTGCCCACAACCACAACATAATGAGAGAAATCGACCACAATGAGAACCAACAGGCTAGGGCAAAACCAAGGCACCCCAAAGTCATTTCCTACCACGTCTACCCCTCCCCCGAGAGGAAACCAACACAATAGGCCAGTCTTTATGCAAAACAAAATTATCCCCAGGTGCTTCATCCCCGCTTTTCTCCGAAGAGGATTCCGACGAACCATGAAGCCAGTCAATTTACATTATAACACCCTCCCCCATATTGGCCCCCACGTGAGAAAACAATGCTTCATGGGATATAAAATTAACATGAACCTCAACAAACGGGCCAGACACTAGAACATTCTACATCACAGTTTAGTTAAACGAATGACTAACCAAACGAGCAGAGGCTTCACCAACAACCAAAGTATCAAAATTTAATTTAGAAACATAATGTGCCTGATTCAACTCACAGGCATCAGGAATAGCCTGCAAGTTTTCCTGCAAATTAAAAGAGGAAGAGGAAGTAACATGACTGTCAATAACCAAAGGGGACAAGTCCACACCACGACAAGGAGAATAAAGAGAGACATCCACAACCAAATTTCTCGGGGCAGACCTACCCTCACAGGATAAAGAAGATTTCGAATTAAAGCCACCTTCCAAAATAGCAGGTTCACTCAAACACAACCGAGGGAGCTTGGCTCTAAACCCTCAACAGAATCCACTAAATTAACAAGACTAACCTCCTCACATTCCACATCATTCATAGCCTGAACAGGAGTAACCAAATCAGAAGACACAAAAGTAGGGGCATTAGATGGCACAGGTAAATCAATCACAACAGATTCAAAACCAACCGCTGAAACCACATAATTAGATTGGTTAACCACACAGTCACCAACTCCCAACGAAATATAAGGATTCGGCAAAGCAATATAGTCAAGATTAGGATGAAGAATCCTACACCTAGCCTTAGAATGTCCCAAAGCAAGGCAATGTGCATAGTAGTTCGAAAAATCTTCAAAAATCACAGATTGAATATAACCAGTACTATATGAACCAATCCAAATTTTATCCTGGTACTGTTTGGACACATCCAGTTCAACCAAAATTTACGCAATCGATGGACGAGAACGAGTGTTAGTAGCATGATCAGTTTTCAATGGTTTGCCAAAAATTAATCCTAAGCCATGCAGAATACGCGAGGCAAACAGGTGAGGCTGGAGGTTAGGGAAGGAGATCCAGATAGGTATAACAGGGTATTCAATCTCAATATCCAAGGCAGGAGACAATTTAACCAATTTCATATAACAATTACTCATGAAATACGATCTGTGAGAAAAAACCCTATAATAATCTAAGTCATTAAATAGCTTTATCAAAACATTCTGCTGATTCAAAACAGTAACCAAGACTTTGCCATTTAGCTTAAGCTTGAAAAAAAAACTCCTAATAGCATCAAGGGAAGGTCTACGCCCAGGGAATTTACCAATCAGAGCATATTCAAAAGGGCCAGCCAAAAACTGGATTTCCTCCTCGGAAATCCACAGAGAGGGTAAACCTCTATGCGAAGAAACTCTCAGTTCAGGAAAAGGCGTAGAAGAATGTGAAGAACCAGAGAGAGCGTCCTTAAAAGACAAAGACGATGATCCAACCAAAAAACCAGGATCACGAAAGCGAGAAGGCGCCATAAAGCCAAAAAAAGGAAAAAATAAAACCGAAGGGAGAAGAAGAAGAACTTCCCTGAGATTCCCGAAGAGAAGAACCCAGCTCAGAGCGGTCGAAAAGGGCGGCTAAGGCGAAGCCTAGCACTCCCCCGGAGAGCGAGAGAGAAGAACATACTCATCGCAACCAAAAAAAATATTGATATGATTCTATTTATATTGGTTTCTACATGCTTTTATAGTTTTATGATCATATTGATGCTGCTTGAATAATTATATGTGTACTTTTTTTTGCCTTGTATTGATGACAATGGAAAGTTCAGGTAACCTGCTTAGTTGTTAGCTCAATCCGTGGTTTTACATATTTTTTAAGGAAGGAGATAAGATCTAATGGAGTGAGAAAATATCACAGTTTCATGTTTTGATTTATTTATTGTATTTTAGTTTTATTCTTTTAAAGTCAGGAGTTGGAAATAAAGATAAAATTGATGTATTGATTGATCTCCTTATTGTTATACATGAATTTTAAGGAATGAATACAATTTTATATTTTGATGTGTACAAATTATAGTTGCTTTCGTTGGACTGATTTATATAAATGGGTTAATAGTGGTTATAGTAGATAAATTAGAGGTTAAAACTAATAATTCTTCTAATTTTAGATTCTAGGGTGTTACACGCGGCAAGTGTTGAGTTGCTAGTTTGATGAGAAAATCTTAGATCCACATCGTAAACGGGCCAGCTCTTTAGTAGGCATAGCAAGGAGCATCTGTTGACCATCAGGTGTGAGTTCTCCTGTGAGTTCTTATTGAGCATCGTTCCACCGTAATCCCCACTTGTTGTTGTCCCCGCGGACGCGCTCGCGTCCGCCCCCGCCGTCTGCCTGCCGCCGTTCCGGCGCCGACATAACCCAAAATTGGGTCGGGTTTAGGGTTAACCCGGCAACCCGCCGGGTCGGGTCCGGGTTCGGATTTCTGACCCGTTTGTCTACCCGGGTCAGGTTAGGGTCGACCCGTTTGAACCCGGGTCAGTTCCGGGTTCGACCCGAACCCGACTCGTGACCTGAAATTGACACCCCTAATTTATCATGAACAACCAACTATTTTTAAAATACCCATGAAGACATATGCATAGCTACGTACTCGATCATTCATAAAACAACAAAAGTACGTAACTTATCTCTTCTAAAAATAGTAGTACCTAGCTTGTTATGTACTCAACTTATAATGAGTTTAAAGGGGTGCAAAACTATTGTAGTAATATGATAACGATTTATATCTCTCATTATAATAGAACTATATTATTTTGCTCTCTTTCTATATACATGTTTAGAATCTTACACAACAATGTAATTCTAATATTAAAGCTCCTATTAATGGATCACATTACAAAATTATACTTTCTTTAAAATATTGTAACTGACACAGCTCACTTTAGTGTGTTGGTTGAAAGCTTAGGCTACCAACTAAGAGGTTTTGAATTTGAGTCTTTGTGTATGCGATGTGTGTGTGAATTTGCCTTAATAGACTTAAATGTCAAAAAAAAAAAAATGTAACAAAATTTTTGCCATTATATACTTGTAAATAATTAATAAATATTAAAGTTAAGTCATATTACATAAAAATTCTTTCATCAAAATATTTACATTTTGAAGAATTGACAAAAAATAATATAAATCAATTACAAAATTCATGATTACGATAAAAAATCCTGACAAAAAAAAAAAGAGAAGAAAAAAGAAAGTATATGACGACAACATGGCACAATTGTGTTAGAGTAGTCTATATACTCATTAGATATTTGCATTGAGATTAGTACAATTTTTTTATATTAATATATAATATAAATCGTAGCATAAATTCAATGAATACGAAGAAAAATGGAGTATCCATTCGCTGCCACCCCCGAAAAGATGTTTGTCGGCGTGACTAATTCTCGACTACCTTAGAAGAGGCACTGACCCCGAAATCTCCTTGCCCGGACTTGATTGAGCCCCGCTTAAGAGGTGCTGCCGCTCGAGAGGAATCAAGTACGAATTTGAAGTTCCCAATCGTACTCGCCCACCTATCAAGCTAAGCAATGGTGGGTAAAAACCTAAATACAATTAACATATATTCTACCCAATTTTTTTTAAGAATAAGTCGGCCTAAAATTAGCTCGTTTTCGCCGCCATTGGCCGAGTCGTTTCAGGTTATCCCATCGACCGGGACAGGGCCCTGCAGGTCACTTACCCCACCATGGTGAGCCAATTAAACTGAAGCCAGGTCGGCCCTGCGGGCCCCACCCTTCCTGCCGTCGGGCATGCGTCCTTGGCCCCCCCAAGATTTTTTAAAAAGGAGTTCGGCGCGCCGGAAATGAGAGAGAGAGAGAGAAAGAGTGGGGGAAAGGGGGAGAGAGAAAGAGAGAAGCGCCGGGAGGAGCGTTCTAGATTTTGATACTGCCTCCGGGTGAGGGTTTCACTTCTATTTGATTCTTCTGAGTTGATTTCGAGCTGGTTTTGTTCTTGAATTGACTTTGTTATGGGATTAATCTGTTTGGTTCTGTTTTTGATGCAGCTGAAGCTTCTGGACTCAAATATGAGATTGGATCCGGTTGATTGGTACAGCTTCGGGCCAGGATAGAGAGAGGGAGAGTGATGTCACATTGGAACGGATACGAGGTATTTTCTGGCTTTTTCTTTTATTTTTTCTCTTCTATTTGAGCTTCTTTGAATTGATTGATTCTTCTACCTTTGGTATTGATTGGATGCTCTGCATATGATGTGATTGCATAAATGATTGGTCGCTTTTATTTATAGTTTTGTGCTATTTTAATGATAGAGGAAAAGCTTTGTAGGTTAATCGGAGACTTCAATGTTAATTTTCTCAATTTCTTTCCATTACTTCACTAATTTGTTTTGGAAATATTAGTGGCTCTTCTCCCAAATGATCAACTTCTTTGTGTGACTTGAAGGGAAGAAATATCATGCTGTGATTGTTTGATGCACTTTATGAATCAATTTCTCACAGTTTGAATTTGCGCTAAGATAGAGTGAACGCCTTGCTTGGATAGCAGGATAAAAAAATTTGCTTCAATTTCTAAAGATATTTTGGCAGCTATTTAAAGAAATGACGAATACGTTACGATTTAGGTTGATAGAAATCGGAGGTTTTAGTTTTTATGAGAGCTAAGAGTTCTGATCGGATTGCTTCGAAGTAAAAGTAAATATACAGTGAAAGATGAGATTAATCCAGTTCCATATATAACATTAATTGAAACACAGTTTTCAGTTTCTATTGAAGGTTAGTATCAGATATCATCATATCCCTTGTATCAATTTAATTGTTTTAAAGTTTTCCTTCTATTCATATACCCAGACTGCCTATGGTGCCTGCCTTTAAACTAGGAGCTTGAAATGAATGACCAACATGAAATGCAATAGCAAATTAATTATTGATAGTTTAAGGTTGGATAAGCAATTTGAAGTTTCAAGGATAAGGCAATTTTATACTATGGTCCAAATTTAGACATCCGTGTTCGCTAGCTTTGAGAATGCTTAAATCAAGGCAATTTTGATTAGAATTTCAAGGCAGCTTCCCTTTGTAAATAAGCTAAAAAGCTACATAACGGGTCAAAATTGTGAGCTTTGGACTATCTAAAGTGCATGCTATAACGATTTCATCTTTTGTACAATCCAGAGACGCTATGATTTTGGATCTACGAAATGGTAGACGCTTGTATTGTACAGAATTAAATATGTGAAATTTTCAAGTTCTTATCTAATGTTACAGATTAACAAATTGATAAAGCAAGTGAGGGGTGTAAGCATAAAGCAAGCTAATGTATGATGGACATGAAAGAATACAAAGGTAACGAAGAAGATTGAAAAGGTGAAAGGATGGGTAAAACCAAAGATATATGATTAAATAAAAAATTAGAAACAAATAAGCAATCCCCATTCTTCAAAAAAGGAGCTTGCATCTCCCATAAATTTTTAGTTCATGCAGTTGAACATGGATTAAAATATCATAGCTGGTGAAAAAGATAATTGGATATTAAAAGAGGTATAGTGAGCTAAAACCAAATAATTTATCATTACTGCCATGAAAATTTTTATATGACAATTTATTAATTTTGAAAAATAAAGTTGAAAATTGAAAGAGATTATGGTTTAGAAGTCTCCCAAGGAAAAATGGTTATTACCTCTTGGATTGTCTTGTTTAAGTTTGCTGCTGCATTTGAAAGGGTATTGATGGAAATCCATGCATGTATATGCTAGACCGGTCCAGCCGGTCCACACGGGACCAGCTCAGGCGAAGAACAGGCGAAGAACAGGCGGAGAAATCCGCCTGTTGCATAGGCCGATCGGACCGCCGAAGCTTAGGGGACCATTTTGAAAGGTTTTTTTGAGGAAATTGGGAGGGAAATTTGAATGTAGGGATTGTTTAGGGATTTTCTTTTGATTTGTACGCATTAAATAGTTTGTTTTCCTAGGGTTTGGGTATTATGAATTTGGCTGAAATTTGAGATCTCTTATATTTAGGTTTTCTTTTGGGCTCTAGTGGCATCTAGAGATTTGGGAGAGATCGATCCTCCTCTCGAATTGAGGATCAATTGTATCTTGTTTGTTTTTCTTCTGTTAGTTGATTTCTTGCAATAAAATATACTGTTTTCCTTGGATTTTGGAAGAAATTCTCGTTGTTTTACGAAGATTGATACGAAATACTTGAGATCTACAAGTGTTTCCTATCAAATTAGTATCAGAGCAAGTCTTGGGACTGTTCGTGGGCTATTTTGGGCGAATTTCAGCAGCTGATTTTTGGTCTGGAACGGACGAAGTGCTGTTTTTGTAATCCAAATCCGGAATTTTTGGATTTACGAAAGTTTAGATCGAGTTGGCGGCCAAGAAAGTTGATGTGCTAGAAGAAAGACTTGAAGGGGAGATGAACCAAATCAAGGCAACGGTGGAGGAAATGATTTCCTCCATGGAAGAACAAGTAGCCGATCTCCGGGACATGAAGAAAAATATGTTGGAAATTCAAAACTAAACGGCGACTTCCGTGGCAAAAGAGGAGGAAAGAAAAAACACGAATTCAGAAATTCGTAGGGAGGAAGACAAGGTGGAAATCATGGAGGGAGAAAGAAGAAAACCCTTTATGGAGCCTTTCCAGAGGGAGGATAAAGGAGATAGGTATGGGGAAATGCATGGGTATGGAGGGACGGAGCAAAGGAGTGCTGATTGGGAATGCTGGGAGGTACATTATGATTGACGAGGTGCTGATTTTGAAGGAAGAAGAGGGGATTTCGAAGGGGGTTTGGGCTATGACAGGGCAAGGGAAAACCGGGAGACATGGGGTGGGCCGAGCACTTGGGAGAGGGGAAGCTATGAAAAAATAAGGGGGAATGGTGGAGATCATAAGGTGAGGAAGTTGAAGATGCCTATCTTTGAGGGGGAGGATGCATATGGGTGGATATATAAGGTGGAGAGGTACTTTGCCGTTAATGAGCTAATGGAGGAGGAGAAGATGACAACAGTAGGTCTATATTTGGAGGGGAAGGCATTGTCATGATACCAGTGGAGAGACTAGAGGAGACCTATCAGGGACTAGAGAGAATTCAATGATTGCATAATAGAACGTTTCCAAACCGATCAGGGAGGAGATTTCTATGAGCAGTTCTTTGCTCTAGTACAGAAGTGATCAGTAGCAGACTACCGGGAGCAGTTTGAGCACCTAGCCAGTAGGGTGGAGCGATTATCAGATACGGTATTGGAGGGGAACTTCATGAAGGAGTTGAAGGTAGAGATCCGAGCGGCAGTGAATGTTTTGATGCCTAGTGACTTGGGGGAGGCCATGAAGTTGGCACAGTTAGTGGAAAATCAGAAGAATCTGAAGAAGGGGGCTAGGAACAACGACTCAGGAGGTTCATACAGGACGACAACTACTCTTCTAGCACCCAAGGGTCTTGCATCAAGCAACATTAATGAGACCACCAGGGAGAAGCCAGTAGGAGGGAGTGGAAAAAATTTCAAGAGGCTGATAGAGAAGGAGATGCAGGAGAAGAGGGCAAAGGGGTTGTGTTTCAGATGCGAGGAGAAGTATACGTCAGGACATCGGTGCAAGGACCAAACTCTTCAGGTTCTCACCGTCTATGATGACGAGGAAACTGATGAGGGAGGT